ATTAAAGTAAGCAAAAAAGGTAAATGTGAGTAAAATAAAAGGGATGCTATGATATCCTGTATACCATAATAGTTATATTTAATTTATAATTGAAATTTAGAGTTTTTATAGTCTGGGCACTGCATTATTAATAAGTGATACATTTTAAGTATTTATAAGTTCGTGCATAAGAACTTTTAAATATATTTAAAAAATTGAAATCTACTTATAATTCAATCAATATTTTAACAGTAATCAAGTTAGGAAATAACCTTGAGAAGTAAACAGGTATTATATCTTCAATGAAGATTCTTCATTGTTCAAGTGTTAAATATTTTCACTAATATATAATATTAAGTTTCAATTAAATTTTATTAATTCTTTTACAATCGTATCAATCTTTGCACTAAAAAAGTCCACTCGGACTTTGATATATTTACATTGATAGAGGTGGCATTTAACGCACAGATTTGTTACCTATATAAATCAGAATATTTTCCACATATTAATAAATTTATTATCTAGTATTTTAATTCAAATATAACTTGAATTCTACAATATTTTTATTTTATATTAAATATGAAATTACTTATAGTATTGTTGTGTGGATTGGTTTGTATTGTGAGCGCAGACTATCCTATAGAAGACTATAAGGCGGTCGCAAAGTCGCGGGACTTTACGGGGAAAGTGATTCTCGTGACCGGTTCCTCGTCGGGCATCGGAGAGGGAATCGTTAAACTGTTCTCAATATTAGGGGCTAATGTTGTGGTCACCGGAAGGAAAGCACAGGACGTTCAACGAGTTGCCAAAGAGGTCCAGGAGTTGTCACCACTAAAACTTAAAGTATATACCATTATAATTATATTCTAAATATAAAATCAATTTTTGATATAAATAATTAATTTTTAATAGCCATTAGAAGTTGTGGGAGATTTGACCAAAACCTCTGATTTAAACAATTTGATTGATTCTACGATCAAAACATTTGGCCGATTGGATGTATTGGTCAATAACGCCGGTATATATCCGCAAACAAATATCACACAAACGGATATATTGTCAGTTTGGGATCAGATATTTGCACTCAATTTACGCGCTGTCGTAGAGCTGGTCCACCGTTCTGTTCCACATCTGGAGAAAATCAACGGAACTATTATTGACATATCAAGTATTGGCGCAATTGCACCGGTATGTTTTTATATGTATAATATGAAAATGGTCATTCATTTTATATTAACTAAAAATGTACCATTTTTAGCGCTTAAATACTTTGTCAGAGTTTATATTTCACTTTTAAGCATTTTTGCTTTATGGATTTGTGTTTTATACTATGCTGGGACTTGTTATAAATACATTTTTAAATATCATTTTATTTGAGTAATGAACTATTAATTGTACTTGTATTATATTTTGATAATCTATTGCAATTTAACTTTAAATTAATATTATCATGTTTTCTTAGTTCAAAGTTAACCTAGCTTATGCATCGGCCAAAGCAGGTATGGATATGTTGTCCAGAATATTAGCCCTGGAATTGGGGCCTAAAAATATTCGTGTCAATACTATTAAGTGAGTATTATTTTGCATTTCTCTCTCTCTCTCTCTCTCTCTCTCTCTCTCTCACACACACACACACACACACTCACTAATCCTTGTAATTTTTATCTAACCTATATATCCATTTCAATAGTCCGGGTTCTATACATGTGAGAGACCCTCTGACACCCCTTGAACTCCTGGTAGCAAAATACACACCTTTGGGACGCAATGGTCAACCCCTAGACATCGCCCGTGCGGTCGCATTCCTGGCCTCCACTGACTCAGACTTTATTACCGGCGCTAATCTCGTGGTCGACGGCGGAGTTGTATATGTTGCGGGTTTTTGGAATACAATGTAAATATTGTTATATTAATAGTATCTATTAAGTTGATATTTAATTTTTGAAACTACCAACTTTATATGAAATTATAATTTTATGCCAATGTATTTATTAAAAATCTTAATATTAAATCCTTAAATTTTAAAAATAATAATGTGTTTTGTGTTAAAAAACTTTTTGTTTATAATAAAATATGATTGTCAATGATTGTCTATCAGTGTAAAAATATTAAACAACAATTAAAAATTTTTACAATAACAAATTAAAATCTAGCTTTAAATTAGAGAGTTAAATTAATATAATTAATTTTACAATTATTTTATGAATTTGAAAATACTGTACTCACAATTACAATGAGCTCCTGGAATCATCGTAATAAATTGATCAGATCATCACTAAAATAACTTAGGCCAATTTCAATAAAAAAATATATCATTTATTACTATTTTTAACAAATAATAAAATAAGGACAAGGACATCGGCTATAACTTCCATATCAAATGGTGACCAGGCCAGCATGGCCCAGCGATGGCCCAGGCCTTTGCATTTATAAATTTGTTAAAACAACAATTAAATTGTAAAATATAATGTTAAATAACAAAAATCAATTATCTGCTTTCCATAAGTTCCAACAATAATCTATTTTGTAATTTACTTTATTTCAATAATGCAAATACAGGGTTAAAATATAATGGTATTAAAAACACCGGCGTTATATATAGCCCCGCCGTCTACCACTATATTCGCGCCGGTAATAAACTGTGAGTCAGTGGAGGCCAGGAATGCAACCGCACGGGCGATGTCTAAGGGCTCGCCATTCCTTCTCAATGGCGTGTATTTCGGCGAAATTACTTCTATAGGAGTCGGCGGGTCTCTCACGTGTATAGTTCCCGGGCTATTGAAGTGAGTATATGTGTTATATTATAAGTGCGTGAGTGGGTAAGGGATAGAGGGAGGGGCAGAGAAAGTGAATTAGTTTTATTCAAATACTTACTTAATAGTATTGACGCGAATGTTTTTGGGCCCCAATTCCAGAGCTAATATTTTGGTCAACATATCCAGACCCGCTTTAGCTGATGAATAAGCCGAAGTACCCTTCATCTAATCAAAAAATTTTGTATTATGAGATTATAATAGAAACATTATAATTTTACTCTCATTTGATTTATAAATAATGTGAAACACGTTTTAAAATAAAAATGAGATTTATATGATTTAATTTTGCCAGTAATATTAGTTGTGTTAATTATAAAAATAAACTTTATTTAAGACATACCGGTGCGAGTGAGCAGACACTTGAGATATCAATTATAGTTCCGTTGGTTTTTTCCAGATGTGGAACCGATCGGTGAATGAGTTCTACGACAGCGCGTAAATCGACGGCAAATATCTGATCCCAAACTGACAACAGATCCGGTTGTGTGATGTTTGTCAGCGGATATATACCGGCGTTATTGACCAATACATCAATTTTACCAAACGTTTTGATCGTTGAATCGATTAAATTGTTTATATCAGAGCTTTTGGTCAAATCTCCCACAACTTGTAATGGCTGTCAAAAATTATTATTATTTTATATTTTATTAGATATTTACTTTTATTTAAAATTGAAATTAATAAATAAAAATATATAATACCTTCAATTTTAGAGGCGATAATTCTAGCACTTCTTTGGCCACTCGTTGAACGTCCTGTGCTTTCCTTCCGGTGACCACAACATTAGCCCCTAATATTGAGAACAGTTTAACGATTCCCTCTCCGATGCCCGACGAGGAACCGGTCACTATAATCACTTTTCCCGTAAAGTCCCGCGACTTTGCGACCGCCTTATAGTCTTCTATACTATAGTCTGCGCTCACAATACAAACCAATCCACACATCAATGCTATTAATAATTTCATATTTAATTATTATTTGCAAAATATTTAAAATTAGATTATTATTAATTTAAAATTTAAAGTTTTTGATGATCTTATTATTTGCTGGAAAATGTATCAGTTTATATAGGCAGCCAATTTTTGCACTAAATACTTTAACAAGCTTATTCTTAACAATATCTTGCAAACTATTATTATTAGTGTCATTGATATAATAGTACAATATTAGTGCACTACACTGTATGTGTTTGTAATGTAATTTTAAATGTTAAAAGTACAAACTAACAATTTAGTAAATAAAACTTAATTAATATTATATGATACAGTATTTACATTTTATAATAATTCCACTTAAACCATATTTCTAGTATTAAATATGTCAAATGATTTTTTTAATTTAATTTAGTGCATTATTAGTGTATTGTTTTTAAATAAATATCATTATTGTCATAAATCGTGATTAGAAACTGTATTAACATTTATACGGTACACTTAAATTTAGTCATTGTATACAATAGCCTTATATAGTTTATTACTAGATAACTGTCTTATGAAGTGCATGAAGTCAATCCGGTGCCGGAATTATTAATATTCTTTTAAAAAACAACCCAATAGTTACTCAAAGATTTACAAAATAGGCTATTTAATAAATTTTAAAATTATATAACAAATTTTATAGTTCTACAATGTACATGAATCTACATGATACTTTTTTCACAAATAAACAGATTAGGTTAGGTCTGAATGTTACTCTTTTCTTAACATTTTATTTTGATCATGACAATATACCAAGATCTGTACCATTGAGTTTTTACAACAATTTTAATTTTCATTAAATACATTGATATTTAATTTATTTAATTTGAGGCTTATGTAATCAAAAAGTACAATTTGAAATATTAAGAATTTTTAATATTAGTAATAAATCTGATCATAAAATTTTACATATAACAAAAATACATGTTTAAACATGTTTTTAAACAATGTTGATATTGAGTTTATTGCTGTGTATTCAAAGCACCCATGTTGTATAGAAGTCCGCCGTCAACTAAAATATTAGCGCCGGTAATAAACTGGGCGTCAGTGGAGGCCAGGAATGCGACCGCACGGGCCATGTCTAGGGGTTGACCCACTCTTCCCAATGGCGTCACCTTTGGGGCCAACTTTTCATATGGGTTCGGGGGCTCTCTTACATGAGTTACACCCGGACTATTGAATTGAATATAATAATTGAGTGAATGAAAAAATAATTTGTAGTAATTTTTATTAATTACTTACTTAACAGTATTGACACGAATCCCTTTGGGCCCCAATTCCAGGGCTAATATTTTGGTCAACATATCCAGACCCGCTTTGGCCGATGAATAAGCAAGCATTTGGTTCATCTAACAAAAATAATATACAGTAATGTTAAATAATTAAATTGAAGTAATAATTGATAATTAGGCAATACTTATTAATTACTAATATATTGTATTCACACCTTATTTATACTATTAAATTATTTAAACAAATATAACAGTATATTATATTTTTACAAATACTTGTTACTTGCCCTCAAAATATATTAAAAGTAATAGTTATATTGTTAGTATTAATCTATTTATGCAAATACATGTATGATATAATCATTACATACCGGTGCGAGAGATAAGTCACTAGAAATATCAATAATAGTTCCGTTAGTCTTCTCCAGATGTGGAACCGATCGGTGGATGAGTTCTACGACAGCGCGTAAGTTGACGCCAAATACTTGATCCCAAACTGATAACAGATCTGTTTGAGTGATGTTTGTTTGCGGATATATACCGGCGTTATTGACCAAAACATCCAATCGGCCAAACGTTTTGACCGTAGAATCGATCAAATTATTTACATCAGAAGATTTAGTGATATCCCCCACAACTTCTAATGGCTGTTAAAAATTATTGTATTTTTTTAGAAATTAATTTTTATTAAAAATTGAATTATTACTAAATATACCTTCAATTTTAGCGGAGATAATTCCTGAACCTCTTTAGCTACTCGTTGAACATCTGGAGCTGTCCTTCCGGTGACCACAACATTAGCCCCTAATATTGAGAACAGTTTAACGATTCCCTCTCCGATGCCCGACGAGGAACCGGTCACTACAACTACAGAACCCGTAAAGTTCCGCGACTTTGCAACCGCTTTATAGTCTTCTATAGGATAGTCTGCGCTCACAATACAAACCAATCCACACATCAATGCTATTAAGAATTTCATATTTAATATCAAAATCTAATTATTAGTTTTAAACTATAGTTAAATAAAATTAAAATTAATATAAATTTGTATTAAATGCTTGTACTAATAATAAATGCTTTGATTTATATAGGTAACAGTTTTTAGAACAAAATATCAATTTTCGCACTAAATATTGATAACACTGCTATGATAAAGAAGAAAAACCCAATTTAGGTTAACAATGCACTTAGGATAGTTATAAAGTGAAAGTTTAACCTATGCAGAGTGTAATAGTATATTTTATGTTGCTAAATATCAATATTTGCACTATTTATAAATTTCATGATAATATCGGACAAATGCACTGTTAAATAGTAATTTAATTTAGATTTAAAAGATTTGATTTAGATTTTTAAATATAATTTACTGCATTAACTTACAATTTGTTAGTAATATTAACTTAATATTAGTTATGTGCATGACCATATGTGTAATGTTAGTTAATTTTTGTGAATTGTAAAGTTATCAACAATACTTAATTTAAACTGACAATTTAGCTTAATTAAAACAATCATAATATAATTTTTTACATTTTAATTATTACTATACTTTAATTTAAAATATTAATTTAAGATAATGTTATTTAATAAATTTAAAAATTATATAACAATTTTTTTTATAGTTCTACACGATACTTTGTTCACAAATAAAAAAGTTAGGTTAGGTCTAAATGCTACTCTTTTACCAACATTTCATTTTGAACATGATAGTATTTAAGGAATAGTAATTCAGTTATTTTCATTACATACTATTAATATTTGATTTATTTAATTTGATGCTTATGTCATTTAAAAGTACAATTAAAATTATTAAGAATTTTTAATATTAGTAATAAATCTGATCATAAAATTTTACATATAACAAAAATACATGTTTAAAAATGTTTTACACTATATCACTCAAAGCACCCATGTTGTATACAAGTCCGCCGTCCACTAAAATATTAGCGCCGGTAATAAACTCGGCGTCAGTGGAGGCCAGGAATGCGACCGCACGGGCCATGTCTAGGGGTTGACCATTGCGTCCCAATGGCGTTACTTTTGCCGTAAGCTTTTCCATTGGGTTCGGGGGCTCTCTTACATGGGTTACACCCGGACTATTGAATTTGATATAATAAATTATAATTAATAATTGTTTTTAATAATTGAATGAATGAAAAATAATTTGTAGTAATTTTTATTAATTACTTACTTAACAGTATTGACACGAATACCTTTGGGCCCCAATTCCAGGGCTAATATTTTGGTCAACATATCCAGACCCGCTTTGGCCGGACAATAAGCTAGCTTTTGTTTGATCTAACAAGTAAAACTTGGTAAGTATAATGTTAAATAATTAAATAAAAATAATAATTGATAATTAGGCAAAGCCATTAATTAATAATAAATTCTATCACACCTTATTTACACTAGTTATATTATATTTTTACAATAACCTGTTAAATGTATACAAAAAATATAAAAAGTTATAATTTTATTATTATTATTAATGTCTAAAGTATTTATGCGAATACATGTATGATATAATCATTACATACCGGTGCGAGAGATAAGTCACTTGAAATATCAATAATAGTTCCGTTAGTCTTCTCCAGATGTGGAACCGATCGGTGGATGAGTTCTACGACAGCGCGTAAATCAACGCCAAATACTTGATCCCAAACTGATAATAAGTCTGTTTGGGTGATGTTTGTGTCCGGATATATACCGGCGTTATTAACCAATACATCCAATCGGCCAAAAGTTTTGACCGTAGAATCGATCAAATTATTTACATCTGAAGATTTAGTGATATCCCCCACAACTTCTAATGGCTGTTAAAAATCATTGTATTTTTAGGAATTTATTCAAAATTAAATTATTACTAAATATACCTTCAGTTTTAACGGAGATAATTCCTGAACTTCTTTAGCTACTCGTTGAACATCTGGAGCTGTCCTTCCGGTGACCACAACATTAGCCCCTAATATTGAGAACAGTTTAACGATTCCCTCTCCGATGCCCGACGAGGAACCGGTCACGAGAACCACTTTTCCTGTAAAGTTCCGGGACTTAGCGACCGCTTTATATTCCTCTATAGGATAGTCTGCGCTCACAATACAAACCAATCCACACATCAATGCTATTAAGAATTTCATGTTTAATATCAAAATCTAAATATTAGTTTAAAATTAATATAAATTAGTATTAAATGCTAGTACTACTAATAAATACCTTGATTTATATAGGTAAAAGTTTAGAACTAACTATCAACTTTTGCACTAAATATTGATAACACTGTTATAATAAAGAAGTAAAACCAAATTGGGCTAACAATGCACTTAGAATTTATTGTTATAAAATGAAAATTCACTCTATACGGAGTGTAATGTTATATTTTATGTGGCCAGGTGACGTCAGGTTTGGCCGTAGTGACCAATTATATCGGGGAAAATAAAATCTGCCATTTTATTGTTAAGTATATCTTTTATTATATGAATAAGAGAAATCGGAATCTAAAAGAATTTCCTAATTGTCAATACAGTATATAAATTTAAATTATATTAAAAATGATGTTTTAAAATTAATATTTATTTTTTATAATTTTTAACCATTTTATAAATATTTCTGGTCTAACTCTTTTATAGTAATGATAGGTCAAGTGTACTATTGATTTATATAATTTATATTGATTTATATTAATAATTTGCTGCACTATTGCTAAACCTTTGCGATATGATTGTGACGATATCATCATTAGCGAATTAAACTAATTAACAATATAATATACTATTACAGTATATTGATGTTATACTTTTAAATATTATTATACTAAAATTTTAAAAAAATAAAATGTTATTTATTTTATAATTTAAACAATTTTGTCGAAACCTACAAAATTTTATGTTATTTAATATTAATTATGCTTTAGTTGCAAATATGCACTTTATGATTATGGCACTTTACATAAATATAATTATACTGTTCTTTCAAATTAAAATATTAATTTTGAATCATTTCAATAAAATTAAAATTTAATAAACAATTTTATTACTTGTAAGCAATTATAATAAATGATTTGATTTATATTGTACTGTCATACAGTATAAATAATACTATATGTAACAAAATGTGTTTTTAAGTTTTAGTTACTACTTTATATTTCGTGTAATGTGCATTTACTTTCTCTTTGACCATGATAATATATTGAATACTAACATTCTGTAATCATTGTATTCATAGCTTGAAAAAATATTTATAATATAAAGATAATGTTATATTGTTATTGATATATCAAAAATATATTGTTCTAATAATAAATTATTACATTTATAATCTACAAGAATATATTTAATTAAATTACCTTAAATTATTTTAAACTTTATAAAATATAATGTCTAATTTATTTGAAAAAAATATTACATTTACAAATATTAAAATTAAATACCGCTATACTGTACTTATAATTAAACCAATAGTTTTAGTGCAAATAAATTGAGAAAATTAACCTTGATAAGTAAAAGTGTAAAATAAATAAACGGTGTGTATTTCATATGTCCGTATAGTTTTTTCCATAGGAAAGCATTACAAGGGTATTATATTACAACACGTGTAGATCAGGCGTTTATTATCCGATTTTAATAAACTCGGGCATATTTTAACAGGTATAAACTCTATTTTATTTCTAAATACTCATTTTTAAATTTCAATGATACCCCTATTATTTCAATGACACTAATAGGTTGTTCAGAAATTAATGTTCATTTCGGCCATAACTCAAAAACTAATTAAGATAATTTGAATCTGTCTTCAGATTATAATAGCACCAGTCCATGTCCACATCTCACCAAAAATTTATCA